TTGTCAAGGTTGCTAGGCAACGCCATAGTAAGGGCAGGCATATCCTCTGTAGACCGGACTGTCCCATTTGGGTTCAGCCTTCATGGTCTACAACGGGCCACACATTCATAGACCGTGTCATCCGAAGGATGTGGCCCCTGAATTGCGACACATCTATAGTAACGTGGACGTAGGCTCAGTCCCTGAGGATTGTTCAGAACAGAACCTCACCACATGGCAGGCAGTCTTCTTATAAGGACGGTAGAGTGGGTTCAAAGTGACAAGAGAGGCAGCTATGTTGTCTTTCTCACCCCTAAGTGGAGTGCCTCTTGCCTGCAGTGTGCTCAGTGCTGCCACCAATAGGCTGGAGGCTACGACATAAGTGAGCCTAGCTGCTGTTTGAACCAGTCCTTGTTAAAAAGTGGATTGGGTCATTTATAATCACTCAGCACAGCAGCATGTTACACAGGTGCTTTCATCCGCAGCTGCTCATCTAGACCCAAAGGAGCATCAGCTGTGTCTTTACATGGGAGTATGTTGCTAATGCTAGTGTTCTCTACTAGCCACGACATGTCTACACTGCAGATGTCTAAGGTGTAAAGGCACGACTGTAGTCTGTACATGACTGTACATGGTGGGAATCCTCATTTTAATCAAGTCCGGGTTAGAAAAATAAACGTTTCATGAATTTGTGCTTATTTATTTCTTACTTACTTACTTTTCTTACTTTATTTCAATTTGTCAGTTTAACTACAGTTTTAGTGCTGAGATGCAGAATGCAACAGAAATACAACAACTGTGTATGTGTGTGTGTGTGTGTGTGTGTGTGTGTGTGTGTGTGTGTGTGTGTGTGTGTGTGTGTGTGTGTGTGTGTGTGTGTGTGTGTTTCCCAAACTTGTGCATTGAGTTTGCATCAAACCTCAGTGTTCCTCCTTGTGGTTTTAGTATGATCTATTGTGGTCTGTGTGTGTATGTACCTGAGAGTGTGTGTGTGTTACCGTGGATACCCCCATGTCGCACCAAAGCACAGTATCTGTTCCTCTTCTGCCTTCGCTGGTAGTGACGCTCTGAGTGTGTCTGTTTACGCACACATGCACATACACTGTTGTGTATTGAAAGTTTTCTTTTGTGTGTGTGCATTTGCATGCGTGTGTGTGTGAGTGAGGAAGCAGGTCAGGCCTTTAGGAGGAAATGAGAGTCAGCTGGCAGGAAGTGCTACTATGGAAAAAAAAATTTAAACGCGAATACTTAACTGTCAGCATCAGAAAAAAACATCATCCACCACTGGATTCAAAACATTTACTGTATTAAGTCTCTTCTCGTCATTCTGATTGTCTGAGCACAGCCTTTTATATTTTATATTTTTTTTTTCAGGAAGATTTTACTTTGTATAAAGTTTCTTTTTGGCCCTTTTCTTTAATTTCCATGCATGTAGTTTGAAAGTGACAGGTTTTACTCAATTCAGAAAGAGACATCAACCAATCAAGAAGACATCCTTCTCTTTAAAGCTGCTGTATGTACGTTTTTGCTAGTGCTACATATGTAATGTTAGCAATAGCAGCTGTTTATTTACCAGTCTAGAGGAAACGTTGTGAGTTCAGCATCAAACTTCATTCCTTTACTCACCAACAGCTGTCTCCAGAGGTGGAAACAAACACTATTGTTAGCACGCTAACCAGCTAGCTTCAGCCCGTCGTGTCACTATTCCATAGGGAGTTACTGTAGCCTCCAGTCTATCCTGAAGACGTAGCTACTCAAAGGAAGTATCACCGCCACCCACGTTCAGCGTCAGATAAAACTTACATCCTTACTTCCTTTAAACATTAATATCACCTTCAGTTATTCTCCAAACCAAAACAAGACAAAATATTGTTGCTCTTATATTCTGAGTGACATGTTTAGCTGTGGGCGGCACGGTGGTGCAGTGGTTAGCGCTGTCGCCTCACAGCAAGAAGGTTCCGGGTTCGAGTCCCGGCTCGGACGCGGGGGCTCTCTGTGTGGAGTTTGCATGTTCTCCCCGTGCTTGTGTGGGTTCTCTCCGGGTACTCCGGCTTCCTCCCACAGTCCAAAGACATGCAGACAAGAGAGCTGTTAAGGCTTGGGATAGACTGTAGACCTGGGATAGAGTCCAGACCCTGTGACCCTTAAAGGATAAGCAAGATGGATGGATGGATGGATGGGTGATTGATAAGTGGATGGATGGGTGATTGATAAATGAATGGATGATGAATGGATGGATGGATGTTTGGAAAGATGGATGAATGATTGATGGATGGATGCATGGATGATGGATGAATGGATGGTTAGTTACCCACTCACCTGGAGCTGCAACTCCATCCCCAAGAAAGCTTATGCTAAGCTAGGCTAACATCACCATTAACATCCCTTAAAAACCCTCTGAGGTCGATGGATGCGGGGGTGGCATGTTTCTTTAATATCTTTGTGATAATACAGCGTACAAATATGGTTTAATGTCAGAATCTGCAGAGTCTCTACTTCCTGGTTCATATTCTTGCATGGTCGTACGTGACTCACTGAGGCCAATAAGCAGGCTTCTAACATTTGGTGAAAGCAGAGTCACTGACAACACTTTTACTTAACAAAACAATATTACAAAATTTCATTTTAGATATTTATTATTAGACATGCTACTATTTTAGGAAGCTAATATGTGTAAATTTGTTTTCACAAGGGAGGTGAATTATGTTTATATGCAAGAACCTTTAAAAGGTGATTTTAATAGACCTCAGAGTGTCGGGGTCCAGAACTTTGTCTGGTTCATTGTGTTTGTCTCCGAGACAAATATAGTAATGAGTATTGGTAGCACATGAGCATATAATTAAAGGAAGTGACTTTGTCTTCTGTTTCTCCTCTGAGATTTACATGGAGGTTTCACAGTCTGGTCATGACTCTGATCTTCAGATGTAGAGAAACACTGCGAGCTCATCCCTTCCTGCTTTCTGCTCTTCCCTCTCAAAGTGAAAACAGCAACAGGAAACCGTTATGAAGCCATTCAACACCTCGCTCTGTCTCTTTCTCTTTCCTTTCTCTCCTGGCACGCTCTCCCCTGTCGTCAGCCCCTGCTCAGCTTTCATTTCTCCTTTAATATCTGTCTTCCTTTCTTTCACTTCTCATGGTACAGAGTAATAAAAGCTCCGCCAAAGCAACGTCACGGGGAAAAAAAAGGGCTTGTGATGTGAATGTATGGCAAGTCAAAGGATTCAAAAAGATTTTTAATTCAGAACTCCATCAATCAGTACTCTGTTAGGTCTGGATTAGCTTGGGCCCCTGGTCTTTAGAGCCCCAGGATCATAATGTGGCAACTGGTTTGTGGTACTAAGATCAACTGTACGTGTGTTTTAAAGCTCAGTCTGATACCATACTGACATGATCATTTCCTTAAGGTGGATCCAATCGTGTCCTCTGTTCCACCTTAGAGGTCTGTGTTTTATTTTGTGGTTTTAAGGTTTCAGGTAAAACACTCAAAGAAACCAAATCCTGCAAGGTAGGATGGTGGTTCCAGGTGAGGGCGGTGACTGCTTTGTTGTGACATCACAAAGTTCAGAAAGTCCTGACAGCTGGTTTTAAGGCTCAGTTTCTGAATACAGGCTGTGTGCATTTCTCTGTGGACTGAGCGCTTTGATATTCTCACAGTATTAATATAGAACCTAGACCTGCTTTATAATCAAACACACAAACACATGGACATCTACCTTTATACTATATGGAGCTTGAATGACCTTTGGCTAGTGCTGATTTCTACAGTGTGTCCTCCAGAAGATTGTTTTCACCCCATACCAATTAATATTAGTAACAAAATTATTTTTGACATTAAATAGCCGACCATAAAACACCATTTTGTATTTTACCAGTATTCCCAAGCTGCCGGCCGTCTGTGACTCCTGCCCCACATCAGTGCACTCTGCCTGGTGAGAGAGGCCAAGAAAGGAGGGGGCTTGGCTCTTGGCCTGGGCCTCGCCACCACCCACAAACACACACACACACACACACACACACACACTTCAGTGCCTGGGAGAGCTCCTGGCACCACTTGAAAAGCCTTCATTCACATCTTGACTGCTGTGTACAGTTTGCTTCCTTGTCTGTCCGTGCGCACATGCGTACACACACACACACACACACACACACACTGTTGTCTGAAAGTCTGTGGATGATCAGTGCCCTTTATTAGACTGTGGGGGAAAAGACTGGATTGAATGAAAGAACTCAAACACACATGAACACACACACACTCTCCCCTTCATCCACCCCCACACTAAGTTAATTGCTTCCTCTCCTTCGACTCTTTTTCTTGTTTCTTTCACTATCAGCAGCTCAAGACCTTTTTTCTTATTTATTCAGTGCTATATTTTCTTTATATATTCATATAATTAATAATAATTAATATATTCATATCAAGTAAAAGAAACTATTTTCTCAGACCAAACAAAACTTTTACTTTTATTTGTTGTAAAATATTCTAAACTCAGTTCACTTCCTGATTCAGTTACATGACATAATATATTTTTTTCATACTCCATTCACATCTGAAGAAGGCCATGGGATACAGTCAAAAGCTTTCGAAGAAACAATAATTAAACCTTGAGTTTAGAGTTTGTTGAAATATAACAGGAAGAGTTCAGTTTCACTGTGACGATGACCACTCAGTTGTGTAATGTCTTCTGTGACTGAGGGGAGAACAACCCTGATGATGTCATAGTGATGTCATCAGAGATGGTGTGTGTGTGTGTCTCTGAAGGTGCAAGTGATTAAACTCTATCTCTCTCTCTCTCAGATTCCAGACAGATGCAGTCATCTCCCTCTTGGTCCTACGACCAATCGTATCCCTACCTTGGCCAAATAACCACGCCTACTGTCCACTCAGCCAATCCCCTTTCACCTGGCCGCTCCTCACTCAGTGACTTGTCCTCACGACTCTCAGGTAACACACACACACACACACACACATACACACACAACACTGGAGTGAGTAGATATGGATTGTGACCTTTGACTTTTGACCTCTCTCAGGTCCTGACCTCACAGCCTTTGGCGACCCCAGGATGACCTTAGAACGATCTTTCACTTCCCTCCCGGACCCCCGGGTCCACTACCCTCCCACAGCGGCGGCCTTCACCTACACCCCTTCCCACAACCCCGTCTCCAACAGCGCCCTTGGCATCACCATGGCAACGGCCATGGCGACCACCCCGACAGGGAGGTACCACACCTACCTGCCTCCTCCCTACCCTGCGAACGGCCACCACCAGGCTCAGAGCGGGCCCTTTCAGTCCACCTCCTCGCCGTACCACCTATACTACTCCACCGCCGCTGGCTCCTACCAGTTCTCCATGATGGCCGGGGGAGGGGGAGGAGGAGGTGACTCGCGCTCCCCTCCCAGGATCCTGCCACCATGCACCAACGCCTCCACAGGCTCCTCCCTCCTGCACCCCTCCCTGCCCAATCAGAACGAAGGAGTGGGTGTTGAGGTAGAGTCCAGCCATAGCAGCTCACCAACAAACATGGCCGCAGCTGAAGCTGTGTGGAGACCATACTGAAGCAGCCGAGCGGGGGAAAAGCCTCTGAATGACACACCCCACCCTGACTGTGGCTCTGAGCTCATTGGTTCCTACTGATGATATAAATGTTTAAAAACACCTCACAGATATGTCATTTCAGGACACAGGAGGACACAGTGCATTTGTTAGGGGACTATTTTCAGCGGCAGATAAACCCACATTTGCTGCTCTGGAGACTATTTCCAGCAGCAGGACTGTGTGTGTGTGTGTGTGTTCATGGTGATGAAGGAACATGGCATCAGTGACACAGTGAGCCTCATTGATGTGTGTTAATATGCACACACGCACACACAGACGGTAGGAGACAGTCATTGTTGGTGTTTGTCTGCATAACTCCTCCTCCCAGGATCCATCTGTAAGACAGACATACATTTTATCTATCAGCGCGTTTCAAGGCACTCAAGGATACGGAAGAGGATTAGGGAATTCTGACTTTAATCTCAGGATTTTGACATTAAACTCAGAATTCTGACTTTCTAAAAAGAAAAAAATCTTTTCACGTTAGGGCCACATGTGTTTTTGTTTGTTTTTTTGTTTGTTTTTTTTAATTTTGACTTTAATCTCAGAATTCTAACTTATTTTCAGAATTCTGGCGTTAATCTCAAAATTCTGAATTCTGAATTCTTTTCACATGTGGCCCTAATCCTCTTTCGTACAAGGACTACTTACAACACGCAGTAAATGAGATGAAATAGCAGGAAAACAAAATAAAATAAAATACAAAATAAATTAGAATAAATTTAATCAATAAATATGATTTCATCATAATTGAGGAAAACAAAATGCTTCTGTGCTGGTTAATAAACTGACATCATTTTATTAGTAAAAACACAATGATATTCAAAACTATTAACAAAATCCTGACCTTCAGGACTCCACACAACCAGGACTCACAGGAGGGTTCAGGATCATGACCATCAGTTGTGTCCGTCATCACATGACCAGGTGCTGGAGGAGAGCTCCTAGACGGAGCAGAGTGACTGACAGGTGCGCCGACCAATAGTCTCCCTGCAGGACGTAAACAGGAAATGAAGGAGAGTGTAACACTGACAGGTGCATGCAGCAGCACTGGACTGATCCCAGTTCAGCTTCTTTGTAAATTAACAGATGTTTGCCTCATTAATGTTGTTGTTGTTGTGAATAGATGGTTTGATCATATGGTGGCCTGTTTGTGTTTACCCTCACCCCCTCCCTCCATCTTTCCCCCGCCCCCTTCGTCTTTTAAAAAAAACAAAGAAACATGATCACATCACTGAGCTGGTTTCTACAGCCTCTGAAGCAAAAATGAACTTTGACCTTTGACCCTGACGTCACTGCAGACTTCAACTTTATCCTCACCTTTCACTTCTTAACTCTCGATTTGTTTTCAACATACACAAACATCAGCAGATATTTGGGGGGCCAGGACTCGGGTATCAAACTGTCACCATGGCGACTGAAGGCTGAGCTGTTCTACGTTGGTTAAGGGGGTTGATAGATTCCATGTTTATTACAGAGTGCTCTAATTAGACTGGATTCTAATGAGGTTTTAATCAGATTTGTCAAGTTTCAAAGGTTTAAATGATGACTCCATGATCCATTCATTTCCTCAATGCACTGAGAAATCATCACAGTATGAAGAGTGATGCGTTAACTTATTCCTACAATACCATTTATGGTAGCATGTCATGTCTGTGTGCGTGTGTGTGTGTGTGTGTGTGTGTGTGTGTGTGTGTGTGTGTGTGTGTGTGTGTGTGTGTGTGTGTGTGTTCACCCATGATTCACGGTTTGTTTTTACTGTATATAGCCATGGCTGTAAATGACACCTGCATTTGATCATGTTTTCATCACCCCTTCCTCTCTCTCTCTCTCTCTCTCTCTACACACACACACACACACAGACACACACACACACAGACACACACACACACAGACACACACACACACAGACACACACACACACACACAGCTTTTATTTGGAAATTGTTGATAGTGCACATTTGGTTGTGATTTATATAAATATTCTTGTGAAGAAAATACTGCTGTTGTCCTGTGGTCACTGCTCGTCTCATTTGTTTTCCTCTTAATATAAAAGTTTGTCTTGTACTTCTATCTTTGTGAGGACACTTGTTGACATATAGCCCCTTACCCTAACCCTAACCATCACAACTGAATGCCTAACCCTAACCTAAACCTAATTCTAATCCTAACCCTAACCCTAAATAAAGTCTTAACCCTCAAAATGCAATTTGAAGGTATGTCAGAAAGTGAGTACCAGCCAAAATGTCCTCACTCTGTTAGGAAAATATTTTTTTTGGTCCTCATGTAGCATTTACAAGTACACACACATCTCATCATTGTTCTTTCTGTCAGTTTAAACAAACACCTGAGTGAGAACTCACCTCCAGAACTCATGGCACATGACATCATGTTACCTCCATCTTCTCCAGCACCAGTTTGAAGCACTTCAGGGGGGAAAGTCATGGTCGATGTAGAACCGACAGAGGACCTCTTCTTTCATCCAGTAACTCCCAAACTTGACCATGATGGGTTGAGGTTTTGCCTCTGTGGTGTTCGGCTCAGTACCTTCTTTATCTTCAGGTATTCCCCAAATCCCTCCTGGTCCATCAGGTACAATCTCCGTTTGGTCAGTTCTCCCTCGTTGGCTCTCTTAAGCTTTTGTTTAATGTCAGAAAGCCGTCAGAGATTTCATTCAGGATATTTCGTAGACTAGCTTCAGCGCCATCCTCACCCTGTGGGGAGCTGCTTTGGCTGTCTTGCCTTGATTCAGAAACATTCTCTATCCCGTTCATGGTTGTTCAACTTCTAGTAAAAACGCCTTTCTCCATTATAAAGCAAAATATGCACTGAGATTGACAAATTAAGTTTTTTTAACAACCCTGGGATTGTTCAGGAAAACCAAAAGCAACAACACTGTCACTACAATGAGGAAGAATTGACTCTGATGGTGGAGCCATGTGTTTCATACGCAGGCAGATAACATCCCAGAGCCGGACTTTAGATGGACGCTACAGACCAGCTAACCATGTCTCAATATCTCTGTCTGTCTTTCTGTATTTCAGTATTACTTCTGATCGACTTCAGACTTTCCAGGTGTGTCGCAGAGGACATGAGGAAGTGCACTGTTTTTTTTGGAAGAGCAGTTGTGAAGAAAGTAAAAAAATACAAACGTAAAATAATCAAAAAACACCCAATGACATCACAGCTGTGACAGCAGCCTGCCAAGCAATCAGCCCAACAGGCACGAACAAAACCATGGCGGAAGCTGATTGTCCCACAGGTGATGAAAGGGGCTGTTTGGGATTAAACACCCAGGAACCAGCAGGGGTTATGGGTGTCTATAGGAGCATCTGAGAATTTCAACTGAGATTTTGAGAGTCCTGTGATTTTTCTATATTAACCGGAAACTGCAGTTCTGAGAAGGACTAAATTTCTTGGTTGCAGCAGACACAGTGTTCACTGTGATGGATCACCTATAAAAAAAAATCTGTGGCCAGTTGCACAGAGATATTTCAGACTAGTCTGTTGTGTTGGTCCAGTCTTAATTCTGCCCACAGATTAGTCTGAAGTTAGTCAGACCGTTTCACAGAAATAAAGACTGACTAATTTTAAAACAAAGAAATAAGTCATTTCACCCACAGGATAACTCAGGACTAAGACCAATGTTACCATGGTAACAACCAATGACACCTGCGCTGAGCAGTAGCACCCAACAACAAGAAACAGGAACACATGGCTCGCATGTGGTTTGAGGGCAATGAGAAGGGAAAGACTTTCTTTTTATTGTTACACTTTTCAATTCAAACGTCTTTGTTACTGTTGAATTCTTCCAAAACACAAACATTTTCTGCTGAGGTAAACGGAGCTGAGCAGTTGGATGCTGTTCCTTTCTTTTATTTTTTTATGAAAAGTCTTAATTTACCCACAATTCACTGCACCACAGTCTGGTTTAAGATAGCCAAGAACTGAACTGCCTTGTGCAGCAGATGAATTTAGACGTCTATCTGATGTCTGACTATTTGTTATATCTTAGACTCACTGTCTTTGTGAAACCAGCCCTTGATGAGTGGAAAGGCCATGGTAACCAGTTGAATACTGGTTTTAATTTCTGTTTTATTTGTCAAGTCAAACTGTGCACAGCTTTAAAAGGTACACATGAGTCATTGTGTTTGTTTGCAGCTGTTTGCAACAATGATATCGATGGTTCAGTGTCAGGATGTTTTTGAATTGTGCTCGCAGCACAGTGGAGAGTGGCGTCGCCTTAGAGAACAGGGACATCTAGTTGTCGAATGGCATCATGACACCCCAGTGTGGCAGTCTGAGGAAATGAGACTCAGTTTCTTTAACCTGTAAAACTGAAAGTTTAAAACATTTTTACAAGATAAACAAAACTGATAGTTCATACAAATAGGCATCTGTACTCCCACAGCAACTATGCAAGTTAGATTCTCTGTGAAATAGTTTATTATTCCTACTGTGATAAACCTAAACAACTGTTAAAGAAAACTAAAGTATGGATTCCTTAAGCTGAATCTTATCAAATGGGGGTTCATGGGGTCTAATGCATATCCATATGGGGGTCAAAAACATTTCAGTCAAAGTCATTAGGGATCAATTACCATCCTTGAATCACTGTTTTGATGCTTAAGGTGCTAGTTTTCTCTCTCCAGCCAAACCACCTGAGACAAGAATTGATTTCCTAACAGCAGCCATCATTTTACACTGGGCTGAGCTTCAGGTGTGATGTGATTGATGACCCAAAGTAATGACAAATTAACAGGCAGCCAGAATTTACATAATGTCCTATTAATCACTGTGACAGAGGGACAGAGGTGGTGATTGTGAGAAGGGGGGGGCATTCAGCATCTAGATGTCCCTGTTCTTTAACCAACAACTCCAACAGGAAAATTCCACGAAAGTCAAGAGATTTTTTTTTTAATGTATTCAATCATTGATAAAGATAAAGACTTGTGCGGTTGTAATGTGAAAGTTTTTTTTCTCAATCTTTATTGAAAAACATTTGAATATACAAACAATATAGACATGTGGTCAACACAGATGTGGACATAGAGTCAAGAGTAAGAATTACAATATAAACAAAAGCAATGAAAAAAAACCATTAAAAAAAGATAGGAATAAGCAAAAAACACAAACTGGTATAATGAATTACATTACTGTAAAATTAAAACTCCAGCATACAGTTTGACAGTTTTATCACTTCTTTTCTTTAGTATTTATAAGTTGAAGAGACAGTAGTTATTCTGCATTTATGTATGTGAAATTTACCATATAGGATCAACAAATTTATTATTATTATTATCATTAGGATAAATTACGACTCAACTGCTTCATTCTTGAAGATGACAAGTATAATTAAGACAAAATTATGCCAGAATAAATTAGACAAGACATAAACTAAATTTAAAACTGATAATTAATAATTTACACGTGGTACAGATGTTAATTAATTCATTATTAATGATCTATTCACCATTGAGCACATGATGTCTATATAGGCAGTCTTAAAAGGCAACACACATGTTCTGAGGGGTATGTATAATTGAGTTGTTTTACAGTGAACCAGATATGCCGTTCATTTTCCAGACTCAAAAGATGTGAGGGGTTGTGATCACGTGACCTGGTGGTTAAATACTGCTTATTTCGTTTTGAAAGTGATTCATTCAGTGAAATTCATTCTCCTCGAGTCTGAGGACTTTCTTTGTAGAATTTTATTTAATTCAACTAAGATGTCAATTTACATTCACGTCCTTATTTCTTTATATGCAGGCAGTGTTTATATTTCCGAATGTGCTGATGTAGTATTATTTCTAGGCTGCATTTCCAAAAGGACAAAACCAAACTCTATGCACAGGGGTACCGTGAAACAAACAGCAAAGATATTAAAGAAATATTTTTAAGGCTTTACAAGTTTTTACTGCTTTACTGTTCTTCAGTCTATGTAATGAATAAATATAGTGATCAAATATTATTTTGAATTGTTGTTGTTGCTTCTTTTTAGTCGAGTCGAGTCTGACAATAGAAGTCAATTTTTCCATGATCACAAACGCAACACGCGTCGACTCTTTTACGTCAGCACGTTACGCGCCAAATTCGTTTGGTGCGGAAGGCGCAACAACGAAACACCAGCAGGTCGAATTTTCTTAAAATTCTATCATTAATTTTCTGGCATTTTTTCGAACAGTCCTTCCTTGGTATGTCTCAGCAAGCAGGCTACTCGCCCAGCTTCAAGCGACCGGCGGAAATCATGCGAATGAGGCGGAAAAGAGCCCGAAGCGATGCCGGTGTCTTCTCCAGCCCGAGCGGGCAGGACTCCTCCAGGAGTCCTGGACAGAGCGGCTCATCTCCTGCGTGTGTCCGGCCTTTCTCCCCGGGGCCGCTATTCAACCCTCAGAACTGCTCCGGAGGCGGGATAAAACGCAGAAACCCCTTCGCAAACATTGAAAATACATACAGCCCCAAAAAGAAGTTTCTGATTCATAACGACGACGGGAATGCTGAAGCTACCAACAGTGACCGGATAAAGAGACCAACAGAGAAGGGGGGAGAGGCGGACATGTCAACAACGACAGACTGTCAAGGAGTTTTATCTTTTAGCGCCAGTTTGACCGAGGCTGAAAAACAGGAACACCGAGATATCTCCAGCAAGGTCGGTGCTAACACCAACACTTCGGACTGTAGCCTACTTGACAAATATAACTATGAGCTGTTGTTTAGTGGCAGAATCGCGATAATATCATATATTGCGATATTTGTCCTGGATTGTAAATAGATATTACATTTTGGATATGGTTACAGTTACTTCTCGTTTCCTCTTATCCATGTAATGACCTCTTTTTAAAAAATAATTGTACATTCTGCAATTCAAACACTGAGACCATAGAGCATCTTTTTATTTTAATTTAACAAGGATCTTTTGGGAGGCTTTCCAGTATTGGATAACATGCAACAATTGCACTATTCAATAATAAGTAAATACTTTTAGCAAAATACTTTATAAGTAAGTGATGTGTCTTAAAAACCACACCTATATTTGATGACTATATAAATGAAATAGTATATAAAAATATGTGAAATGCTGTTACATTAAAGTCCAACTTCTATATGAATATCTATGCATGTTAATATCTGATTGACCACTTATTTTGTTATTTAATTAATTTTTTTAAGTTTATTATTTTTCTTTAATTTTCTTATTATTTATTCATTTTCTTTCTTATGACCTATAATGTTCTTATTATTATTACTGTTACAAAGATTGTCAGTGAAAAAAAAAAAACTCAGTTAGCTAAATCTGGTTTGTTTGTTAGTCAAGCTAAAAAAGGCACAGAACTTAAGCGTTAGCTAACGTTGTCGATACGGGTTTGTCCCATGTTTGTGTGTTTCCTGTGAACCTAACATGTTAAAGCTCTTATAGTAGCTTGTTGTTACAAAGACATTATTTTTACTTATTTTAACACAGTAGGTAGGGCCCATCCTGCAATCCCCATGGATGTTTTTAATTCTACATGTCTGAAAAGCAGTTGATATGTCAGATGTGTCTGATCATTTTAGTTTTTGGGTGGAATATGTTTTCATAATTCCATCATCATTTGTCCTCTGCTGTAGAAGAGCCTCACTTTCTCTGAAGATGACTCGCTGTTTGAGGAAGAGGAGGAAGACATAAAAAGTCCCCTGCTGAAGGTTTTTTCTCTACTTTTGATGAGTCACATCTCTACATGTTTTTTGGTTATGTGTGTGTTCAGTTATTCAAACTGTTCTCTTCCCAGAGTCCTCAGGCCATCGCTCCTGCCTCTATAGCTCCTCCCATCTGCACGGAGTATCCAGCAGACTGGAGCCTGAAGACCCGTCTCCTCTTCACCTCCCCGCTCTCACTGTCATGGGCTGAACAGCCCAAAGCCCAGGAGGAAGCTCTGGGACTGAGCCAGCACTGCAGAGCTCAGTTCAGCACCCTGCCTCACAGTCTACAGGTAGCATCTTTATGTCAGTAGTACATGTGACCTTACAGTGAGAACAGCGCTCAGTGAACCTGTTGCCCACCCCCCCCCACAGGATCCCAGGTCCTGCTCAGAGCTGCGCTGTGCCTTCCAGCAGAGTCTGGTCTACTGGCAGCACCCCTCCCTGCCCTGGCTCTCTCTGTTTCCCAGGATCAATGCAGAGAGGAGCTTCACAGGGAAGAGCACCCCCTGGGCGCAGGACGCATCACTGCAGAAGAGTCTCATGAGTGAATGGTGAGTTCACATATTATAAGGTTCTATCTGCGTTCTGAGCAGTTTGGAGATATTGAGCTTCAAAGTTTTTGCATTCCAAATGGTAGAACTGATGTAGAACAGGTCTCTTTAATACATAAAGATGACAGACACCCTAAATGTGTTCTACATGTACAATATTAATTTTGTAAGTGAGGCTTTTTGGAACATGTCAAATGCAGATAGAACCTTGTAACCCTGAGATCACCGGAATTACAAGGTTCTATCTTAAAAAACATGAAAAGAAGCAACGATTTTTTCGAACACTTTACCTGTAATTAGTTTTAAAATATAACATTAGTGTTGTAACAAGTATCAGAAAGTTAAATTGAATGTTCTATGACATTTCTATGACATTTATTCCTTGTTTTATGATGAATAATTTTTTTCTTATTGAATAAAAAGCATTGCAGGTTATGTATAAAGCTCAGTGCTAAATATTTGAAGTTTCCTTTAGGTTAGACAGGAAGTGTGAGTAGCAGGTCGGTGTAAAGGCAGGATTAGGTTTCGTTTTATATCAGAAATGTTGACTCTGATGCACCAGAATATGTTTTATTTTTTGGGGGGAAAAGATGGATAAAGACCCCATCAATAAATGTAGTGTTTTTAATTACCTTTAGGCATTGGAGGGCTAGCATGCTATTGTAATAAAAGTGAAAATAAACTCCTCCCCTTATTCTTATTACCGGACATTTTCTCATCTCCACTCAGTTTTCTGTCTTATCTGCCACTTTTCCCGCTGTCACTGAACAGTGAGACCACATGACAAGAGAAGCAGAATCTGACTGGTTGTCTTGTGTGCATTCTAAGTTGGCTCAGAAGTAGAACATTATAATGCCCAGTTAGAGTTTGAATTTGTTTTCTCAATAAGAAGTCCAAAAATGAATACAACTTCAAAAAAACAATTCACATAATGTTAATAGCTTGTCACAGAATAAAAATATGTAATATAATAATAGCTAAATTTGAACTGAAATGTCATCATCATCAAAAACGCATCACTGAATTGTCACATGACAGTATTCTCTCTGTCTGTCTCAGGTCGGTCAGTCTGTCATCTCTCTACAGTCTCCTGAAGGCCAGACTCTGTCCTTACTTCTACCTCTGCTCCTATCAGGTAGGTGTGGGGCGACCCCTTCTCTCTGTCCCATTTCCTGTCACTTTTAACTGTCCTGTGGAATAATAAAGGCATAAGGTTAGCAGGGGGGTGGTGAAGTGTATGAATGAATGATGTTTGAATTAAAAGTACAAAACCATAAAAGAGCTTTAAGTATATAGCTTTTGTATGCATTTATGTATTCATTAATTCATTCATTCCATTATTCATCTATCTATCTTCTAACATTAACACCCTGGTATAGATCCCTTGCTTCACTTTTATGTCCTCTTGGCTTTTATTTTGACTTTTTACACTTCCTATTCCTGTTGTTTGGAAACCAAAAACAAACAGACCACATAATTTGGTATTTGGTTTCAAACAAAATGATGATAAAAGGAATTGTCAAAAACATAAAACTGACTATTCTGATTGGTTTTTCAAAATCGTTGTTCCATTTTGGTTTCAAAAGTTTGTTTTATTTGTTTAGTTTTTTTTTTTAATTACAAATGAATTATGGATTATCCGATGACACCCAGACCCCCTCTCTTCTTCTGTGGTGTCAGTTCACAGTGTTGTTCAGGGCAGCGGGTCTCGGTGGCTCCAGCACCATCACAGCTTTGATTTCTCCTACAACTCGGGGTCTCAGAGAGGCGATGAAGGCTGAGGGTGAGGAGCTCACCTCTTCATACAAGTTAATACTTCAGTAAAATAGCTAGGAGTTCTAAGTTTGATATTTTCATGTACACACATGTATTTAAACACATGGAAAAAGTAGAAAGTAAAAGCAAAAATGTTTTATACATTGTTGTCTTTAAACCTTAAGTCTTCTCTCATTTATTTAACTTATTACCTGTTCAGGTATAGAGTTCAGTCTCCCTCTAGTGGAGGAGGAGAGGAAGAACAAGGACCAACACACACTGCACCAGGGAGAGGAGGAGGAGCACAGGAAGGGAGCGGAGGAGTGAGTGTATTCTCTGTCCCATATAAACAGCATCACACCTTAAAGTCACGTTGACTCTAAATACTTTACTAGTGTGGTTATGAATCTCCAGAAAATCTGGAAAAGATTGTTGTCTTTTATCTCACAGTCTCCAACATTATCACATCTTCCCTGATGTAGTTTTCACTACGGCGTAATAAAAAACTAAATCCATTGTGCTTCTTTTAACTATTAAACGATAGCAAATGTAATTACTTCATATTATGATTTAAATTATTATGTCTGTATAAAAATCAGTATATATGTCAAATATCAATATCAGCCTCAAATATCCAGTATCACACTGTAAACATGATGATCCAGCATTTTATTCTTATACTTGTCAGACTGTGAACATCTCTGAAATATTATTAACAATAATAACAATTATTATTATATCAATAATAATAACAATGATAATAATAATAATAATGATATTTAGCTTGTTTTGTATTTTTTACTGAAGGTGTTCTGAGCTGAAACAAGGTGTCGACTGTCAGGCAGCTGATGAAGAGGATGGATGCGATGATGATGATGATGACGGTGGCCTCTCCTGGCTGAAGGAGATGGGAGTCCAGGACAAAATCAAGAAGCCAGATAGCATCAGCATACAGCTGTATCCTTCTGCCGTGTTTGTAGCAATATGTCTAAATTTCATTGAACGCAGCAGTAAGAAAGTCTGGTCACAGCTCCTTGACCTCTTGTCTTAGTCGTAAGGAGGGTCACACGGTGTGTCTGGACCATAAACCTGAATCGGTGGTGTGTGTGGAGGGGTCTCACACCTTCACCCTCATCAACTTCCTCATTAACTGTAAGAGGCTGGTGGCTGCAGCTGGTTCCCAGGCCGGGTTACCACCAACGCTGCTGGCCCCCATTGCTTTCAGAGGAGCAGCAATGCACACACTGAAGGTAAGGACACAAATTTCAATGAAGTAGCCCTCGCCCTGTGTTTCACCTACATGTGTGAAAATCAGTTGGTACAAGTAACATGCCAAGACTTACAAAAAAGCCGCTTGCACCCATACCCTAAATCCAACAGGAAGTCAGCCATTTTGAATTTACTCTGCAATTTTGGTGCCGTTTTTACGATTTAAGGACGTCATACTTTAACAAACACTTCTTAGAGAATTAATCAAATCCACCTCATATGTGGTCGGTCTAATCTTAAGCCCTTTGTGATGCTAAATTGCGAATTGCAAAGCTTTTGAATTTTCGTTGAACGTGCCGGTATAGCGGATTTCAAGGTTTAGCCATGAAACAGGAAGTTGTTATAACTCAAGCACACATTGTCCAAACTGCCCCAAACTGTATTTGTTTGATAAGAGAATTTGATGTGCTCCTACCCACACCTACCTCAAACTTGGTCAGAGTATTCTTAAAACTTCAATGATGCCTCAATGTGAAGTTGTTATAACTCAAGTATGCATTTTCCAATCTGCTCCACTCTTCACATGTCAACAGGAAGTAACCCTTGAGTGACCATCATCATTTGATTTAAATAAAATTTTTATGCTCTGGTTTACATTTGACAAACAGTAATATAATACAGGTTGGCGGCGTCAAGTGGCTTCCTGGCAGCGGTGCTAAGGTTCTCTCTCTCTTTGTCTCTCTCTTCCTCACTCTCTCATCCTGCTACATCAACGGGCCGTGAAAAAAATCCATAAAGTGTTACCTGTCCCTGTCAGTCTCTGTACCGGCGTCTCTGTGCGCCTGTCATTCAGGGTGAGCAGAGGCAGGTCTGAGCTCAACCTTTAGAGAACTGACCCGAGCTGCTGACCGTTGTTATTTGTTTGACACAACATGAAGCAGTGAAGTTGTGTGTGTTGTCCAGAGTCTCAGCTCTTAACTGAAGTGCAACTTGAGTCCAAATCACAAACTCTCCATCTCCGGTTCACCAGACGTGAGAGCGACAAAGAAAGATGATGGAGAGTGAAAGTGTAAATCTAGAGCAGGAGGAGGGGGATGAGAAAGCATCCTGACCGACTCTAGATGAGGGAGAGGAAGTTATTACTAAAAGGGTGAATTCACCCACCCCTAACACACACACACACACACACACACACACACACACACACAGCTGTTATTATGTCTGAGTGTTTGTTTTTCAGGCCCGCAGTGTGAACGTGAAGACCCAGGTTGGTTCTGTGTACCAGAACATCAGCAGTCTAGAGATCACAGGTACTAATAATGTGTCAGTCTATCTCTAAATAACTTCCCTGCTCTCATCTCCAAGCTCATTGGTTTCTCCTGAATAGTATCAAAAACAAACAAGTTAAGTATCTCCTACATTAGAAATGATTACAACCTCTGTCTCCACCTTCCTACTATCAATATATAAATATTATTTTCTATAGATATCATATCATCATAAATTATCTTGGCTACGATTTGACCTACTCACCTGTTTGTTGTCACCAAGTCTGTTTTATTTAGATCAAACAGATCAAAAGAAGGTGGAGCTTATCTCTCGTGTGATCACGTTTTTTTTCCTTCACTGTATTTCTTTGTGTTTTTTCCTTCCTGTAGGACCTGTCCTCCCCTCCTCCCTCCATGCCATCACCGCCCTCCTCCGTCCGTCACAGAAAGGAAACTTCTCAGCCACTCTGTACACACACACCCCGACTGCTGTCATGAACATAGGCAACATCAGGCCACAGGTAAGACAGGGCAACAGGCTCAGACAGGAAAGTATTCACCTTCACTTTTTGTAGATTTGATTGCTCATAAATCAATAATCCATAATCACAAAGTAAAACTGTTTGTAGGAATGTGTATATCTGTGGTGAACTGAGCTGATTGAGTTCAGAAAGACACACACCTGTAGATCAGGTCCAACAGCTCACCTGCAGGACAGGGACCATGAAGTCCTGTGAACTCTCTGTAGACTTCTGTGATCAAACTATGGTGAGACAGAGATCTGGACAAAAAGATCTGACTGTTCCCAGGAGAACAGTGGGAACAAGAACTGGAACCTGGACTCTTTTAGAGCTGATGTCCAGACAAACTGAGGGACCGGGTGAGAAGGACCTGGGTCAGGGAGGAGCTTCAGAAGTCCTCTGCAGAGATGGAGAAGCTGCTGGAAGGAATAGCATCAATCAGGTCTTTATGGTAAAGAGACAATACAGACACACTGGGTGGAAAAGACATGTCTGCAGGAGTTCTCAGGAGCAAGGACAGGGAGACTGGTCAGAGGAAAACCTGATCCGGAGTCCAGGAGATCTGGTTCACTTTTCAGCTCCACGTGACCCGAAGCTTCAGGACCAGTCTCTGACTGTCCCTGACTGTCCTAGACAAAGTCCAGACCTGAACCTCCATAGACCATCTGTGGAGAGACCCGAAGAGGACAGTTCACAGACACTTCCTGTCCAGGCTGAGTCTGAGAGGATCTGTCAGGAGATAAACTGATCCAGATGCAGGTTCAGAGCCTGTAGAGACCGGATCATGGCCGAGTGTACCCCCATATCCCAACCTGGCAGCTCAGCATAGATCCACACATCTTACATTTTGGACAAAGAGACAGACATTCACATAGGCTAACATTAGCTTGTTCAGGGTAACATAGCAACAGCTCATAACACAGATTTAGCATCAAGTCTTGGCACCAAATTTCCTCTCTTGTGCATGTATCTCTTTTGCTCCATTTGGTGGTCGTTCACTAAACATGCACTCACTCAAGTGTCTGTGTTTGCAGTGCACTACCTCCTCTGTGGACCTGTCCGACTGTGGGCTCCACCCTGCCTCCATCCAGCAGCTGCAGCAGCCCTCCAGCCTGGGGAAGAGCTCTCTGACTCACATCAACATGAATAACTACAGCTATACCTGGAAGAACTGAAGGGAAGAAGCAAAAAGTCTGTTCTGTTGTTTTAGCCTGTGGAGATTGATCCTGAAGAGCTGCTGATGGAAGCTTCTCTTAAAAAAAGCCTTTTAAAGACACATTATTTTGCATTACATTGTTTTTTTACTTTTTTTTTTTACTTCAAGCTGTAATTGACTTGTGCTGCTTATTTGCAAATGCATTTTAATTCTAATTTGTTTTATTTTGGGGAAAACTAATTTTTGTATTTTTTTTTCAGTTCAATTTTATATCAAATTAAATTTATTGGTGCTCTGAAACAAATGTTTTCTCTGTGGAGTTTAAGTGTTCGAGAGTATATAGTGATAAAAACAGTTTTACCGTGTGGATGTACTACAACAGCAGAAGACCATATCAGGTTCCACCAATAACAGAAACCTTACACTACAGTGGACACTGGACAGTTGAAGAGTGGAAATATATACATGTATATAACAACTAACATGTTATATGTTTATAAAAATGTGACCATTTCTACAACTCAGACTAATGTTTATATAAAAATTTATAATTTTATTATTATTATTACATTGTGACCATGTTTTGTCTCCATCAGATCATGGTCTCAGGTTTGCTGTTGTGTCTCCTCTGGGTGACCTTCCACATGGAGCTAACAAGACCTGGAGCACATTGGGCGAACATTTAGAAAGTGCTGCTTCAGATATCAACACATTCAGTAGATTTTCTTTGTTTAATGTGTCAGCGCAGTTTTTTTATTGTTGACATGATTTTGGTGAAAACTAGATTCTTTTGTTAGCTACACTTTTCATGCTTCAGCTAACTAGCATTCTAGCTTAGCTGCACTTGTTTGAAGTACTCCGATAGGGGTATAGTTCAGAGATGCACTTGTGTGTGTCCACATTTAAAACAAACCAATTCAAAAGGTTTTTACTCTCACATGTTGTATTTACTTAGTTCCATCTGCTTCATGGTGGATCCAGAAGGGCTGAGTCCAGGACAACTGAACTCCAAGTCTCTTCTAAAAGGCTCCTTACCTTTTAGTCCCCCACAAATTAAATCGCATCAAGAGTGTTAGATGTCATAAATTCACTGACTGTCATAAAAATTGAGCCCACAACATTAGAACTCCCAGTCAGTTTTGTAACAGCATGAGCTGATTGGTCAGACAATTAAGCCTTCTTCCTGCAAGCTTTTCAGTCTTTACTTTGCACATCAGCATTCAAAAAATCAAGTGTCATAAGGAGTGAACTTCTTAGAGCCTTTGACTGTTTACAATAGATACTAGACTTCAAGATTCTCCTAATCTCATAAGAATTGAACCCACATCCTCAGAACTTTAGTCTATCTTCTAACAGACTAAGCTATTTGGTCAGACAATAGAAGGTTTTTCCTTCAGTCTTTTTTGGTTTTTCCTTTGAAAACTCATCGAACCTCAGAGTAGTCTTCTGTAGTCTAGAGGTATATGACTGTTGGACATTAGTCCTCTCTGGTTCTCTTACTCATTGAGCCACTCACTAAGTGACACAAACTCATCCTTTCTTACAGTTTGAACTGAGTCAGTTCAGTAGTCCTAAGATTCACAGAAAGACAAAACACTGATAAAAAACAGTGATGCTTTTATTGTGAAAAGACAAGTAAATGTCAGAATCTTAAAAAACATTTTTAAACTGTAATATTTGTAGCTTCCATCTTTAAAGATGCAATGTATAAGATGTGGCCAGAATTTTAGTTTTAGTTCAAAATTAAAAAACGTTCAACGGCAAAGAAAAGAAGCAAAACACAAGAAAATCTCGATGTGGCTTTCCACCGCTGGAGACAGCTGTTCGCGAATAAAGAGATGTGGTTTGATGCAAAGCTTGCAACTTTTCTTTTAGACTTGTGAGTAACATTTAATGTTGGTCTTTAGCAAAAAGTATCATTAGTGCAACTAATAACAAACCGTACCGACAAAAATTTCAAGTGGCATAAATGTGGTTGATGTTGTCAACAGACGTTTTAGCGGTTTAGTAGAATTTAGCCTGTTACTGCGGCTGTTGCCCAGATAGTTATGTCAGTAATTTTAGGCTTATTTTATAACCGATGAGATTCTATGGATCCAGTAGACAAAGTGAATACACGCCGATCGGTTCACCATATTGTTACCACTTTACATTATTGCTACGAGATCAGGCAGTATTGAAAGTTTAATAGGCCTTTACATTTCTGAAGAGATTTCAGTAACAGTAACACCTTGGAGTATTATTTATACCACAGTTACCACTGCCTATATTGGTGTATGTATTTTACAGTATATACATATTTGTACTACTCTCGATTGTTTATTGGTTATATAGTGTGTACACTGAATTCTTATCATACCTCTAGTTGTTTACTCTTCATTTCTTTGCATTTACATTTCATAAGATTCATACTGTTACTACTGTTCAAATTTGGTATATATCAGCATATCCATGCCAGTATTCATACTGTGTTTATTTTAGCATTTTCATAACTATCCTTACTATTTATAATACACAACAGATATAACATGTTTGAAAATACATAACTTGTATGATCTAAACAATTTGTCCGTATCAGGACCAGAATTCCAGTCCAGCCATCCCCAATGATGGACCAGCATGTGCTTTTTCTTATGCGTCTGGCCTCATCAATCATCAACAACCGCATTACAGTAACACCTTGGAGTATTATAAATAAACATATAATACATTAATCTGAAAATGTATGTGTGAGTGAATGTGTGAGTGAATAACAGGAAGGGACACTCCCTACTACACTCAACAGACAGAGAGAGAGACTGAGGAACCGAACGACCAGAACCCAAACCCAGGATACAGAGGTTCAGTGAATGTGGTGTTGAAGGTGTGGAGGTGGATCAGTGAGTCAGATGAGACTCTGTGGAAGGACAGAGTGCCAGCAGGACAGTCCACATACACTGCTACTCTGTTAGAGACAGAAGAGGAGGAGATCTGTGTTTCTGTCTTATTGTGACAGATAGAGTAACCACTACAATCAGAGCAATACAGTCTCCAAGACAGATCGTTCTCTCCAAAGAGACCGTCTTTACTTTTTCCTTTCCTTCTGATTCCTCTGTAACTCACTGATATACAAACCCTTCCTCTCCACTCGACCTCCCAGTAACAGCGACCAGTCAGACCAGTTGCACACAGCAGCTGAGGCCAGTGGTCAAATCTTGCACAGTGATCAGGATATGACTGATCCTCTTCCACATATGTCACCTTCCTGTTGTTGTCAGACAGTTTGATCTTTGTGTTCGCTGTGTTTGTTTCAAGTGTGAGTTCGCAGGAATCTGATGAAGGGAACAAGACACAATACAGCTGCAGTTATTGATCTTTCATCTGATCAGTTATTGACAGTTTGATGATGTTACGTTACCTATGAAAGTACAGGGATTGAGGGAAGTAACAATAAATTAAATAAGTGAACCAGGCAATACAAAAAGATCAATGGGAAACAGATTTTGCAAACAATAAGGGAGGGTGTCCTTCTAGATGGGAGAGTAGTTTAACTTGTGTTGCCAAAACTTCACAGAGAAGTAGCATGCCAGGTGGTGCACATCCCAAACACACTTCTCCAACAGCACAGCACTGGCTCCAGAGGCACTAGCATCAACTTCCAGCCTAGAGAGCGGCTAGGAGCAGCCAACACTGGAGCACTGCAGAGAGATTTAGCAGGCTTAAAACTATGCTGACACTCATCAGTCCACATGAACGGGAGCTTTATCAACATTGCACTTGACAAGGTTAAGTCCTCTCCATGCGTCAGCGATGCGTCAGCGATGCGTCAGCGAGCCGCTCAAACAGGAAAAAGCCAAGATGTCCGATGCCCTAGGAGTCAGAGGAACCTGCCACTACCCTTTCAACAAGTCAAGTTTAGTGATAAACACTGCAGGACCAATACTGTCAATGCAGTCCTCCATAGGAGGAAGTTGAAATGAGTCCGGAACAGTGACTGCATTGACATTTTGAAAGTACAAAACCGAGAAGTAAAAAAAGAACAAAAGGCACACCCTCATCCCAGTCTTTCCTTGTGTCATAGCATCGACTTCAAAGTCTGATAACAGCGTTTAACCGCACCCTGCAACTCTGGGTTGTAAGCACCGGACACTACATTATGAACACCCAAAGCTTACATCATCTGGTTGAAGGCTTTTGAGAGGAAATTAGTTCCTTGATCCGTCTGTACTTTTTGGAAGCCCAAAAGTAATAAAGAGCTTGGCCAAAGCTTTAATAATGACCGTGATTTTATTCAGGGAAATCACCAAAGGGAATTGAGTTGCAACACACATGACAGTTGACAAAAATTGGTTACCAGTCTTTGTGCATGGCAACAGACCTACACAGTCCACTATGACATGTTCAAATGGCTCACAGACAGCTGCGATGGGACGCATAAGTGCTGGGGACACAACTTGGTTAGGTTTGCCCACCATTTGACATGTGCAGCAGGTTTTACAAAGGCGCACCACATCAGCCTTCTTCCCAGGCCAAAAGAAATGCCTGAGGATGTGGTTGTATGTTTTAGTGACCCTCAAATGACCAGACCATGGGTGCCCAAGTGCCAACTCAAGCACGTGTTGCTGACAACCACTAGGAACCAGGATTTGGTAAACTGCACCCCAGTCCTCACCTGCTATACCTGACACTGGCACCCACCTGTGCATCAGTATATCACCTTCAACATAAAATACATGTTATCTACTGCCCCCAAGCAGGGTTCTCAAAAGCAGAGGAAAAAGACTTTGCGGGGGATGAATGAGTCCCCTAAATTGACTCATGACATCAGTGATCTGAATGAGTGATGTGACAGTTTGCAGATGGTTGAATGTGCTGCTTTGTTTTCATAAATCAAATTAAAAATACACTTACACTTCCTCAGACCTTTTCTCGACCAATGGACTCCAACAGGCTTCACCCTGAAAAGTGGAGGGGGGTCAGACCAGCACATTCCCTTTCAGCATGCAAACATGGACATTACATGACTCTCATAAACTGACCACTTACAACTAAATTCAGGAAAATATCCTGAACATCAAAGGAATTAAATGATAAAAATAAAAAACAAAACAATAGAAAATTATGAAAAAATACCCACAGAAAGTAATTTTGAGTCTAGAAAGCACTGCTGTTGGTCATCAGTTAAACAGGTTTATGAATCCTGACCTGAGAGTTTCCAGTGTACAGAGAGGACTCTCCAGTGCAGCAAACAGGAGCTTCACCCCTGAATTCTGCAGCTTGTTGTTACTCAGGTCCAGATCTCGCAGACTAGAGGACGGGGAGCTGAGAACTGAGGACAGAGCTTCACAGCTTCTATCTGAGAGGTTACAACCACTTAGACTGAAGAGACAATAATGGACAAGAGGACAAATAACGTGTGTTAAAAGAAACAAAAATCTCAGGTTGCTCTGCAGCTCACAACAAACTGCATTTTAAAACTGAGCCAAAAAATTAAACACTCAGAAATCTGCACCTGTCCACATTAACCTGAGCCTCGGTCATTTCAAAGAAACAGTAACTTGATCTCACATGAGAATTTCCAGTGTACAGTGTTGACTCTTCAGTCCAGGACACAGCAGGTCCACTCCTGGATCCTGCAGGTTGTTGTCACTCAGGTCCACTTCTGTCAATATAGAGGACTGGGAGCTGAGAACTGAGGCCAGAGCTTCACAGCTTCTCTCTAAGAGGTTACAGCCGGACAGTCTGACAATGAAAAAATCAACAATAGGATAAATAACATTTAACAAGTGTTAACAGGAACAAAATCTCAGTTTGCTCTACAGCTCTCAGCAAAATACAGGGCAGCTGATCATTCAGACACTGATTCATTAAAATCCTGTTCAGTGTCTGGGTTTATCTTGAGAGGAGAAGCTAAAACATGTGATAAAGTAGTTGTTCAATCATAAGTTTAATACCCTGCCTTACCTGAAATCATCTGTCGTCTTACTAACCACACCCAGGAAGTTATATAACCCCACAGATGAGAACAAAGAGAACCAAGGATGGACTTTCAAAACTAAAGTTATTTTATTTGGTTAACTTTACAGCAGTTATTTGGTTTGCATGGGTTTTGAATGTTTACTTGTATGAAATTGCACTAGATTAATGTTTAATACCCTAAAAGTAAAAATGGTGGAGGCATAAAGGAAGTAAATTGAGGTAATGTCTGCTTGATATGCTTTATTTTTTATTAATGTTAGTGCTGACCCTTAAAGTTAATAAGTAATTGCACTTATTTTGTCTATGTATTTTGAAATCTCTTGTCATACAGAAAATATCATCCATCTATCCATTTCTCTGCCGGAATTGATTGTCTCCCCAAGAAAGGCAACTTATCTACCCCGGATATATTGGTCTCTCACAGCACTGCTGGACAACAGTGCTTCTTAGATGCTGTTGCTCATTTAAAAACCTGGACTGTCTCCTTTAAAGGCTGTTAGAACTGCAGTCATTTAAAACAAGGTCTGACCTGAGAGTTTCCACTGAACAATGCGGGCTCTTCAGTCCGGCAGACAGCAGATTGATGCCCGAGTCCTTCAGCTTGTTGTTACTCAGGTCTAGGGCTCTCAGACTAGAGGACTGGGAGCTGAGGACTGAGGCCAGAGCTTCACAGCTTCTCTCTGAGAGGTTACAGCCATTCAGTCTGAAGAGATGACAATAAGGAATTAAAGAAGAGAGGAATTTCTTATCTCTACTGTTAAAAAGATAGAAGTGTCTTTATATGATGATGAATAAATCCAACTATCTATACACTTACAGAGCTTTGTTAGAAGCTTTGACCACTGGCAGCAGCCTCAGAAGAGCCTGCTCTGAAGCAGAGTATTTCCTCAGGTCAAACACGTCCAGATCTTTGTCTGATGACAATAAAATGAAGACCAGAGCTGACCATTGAGCAGGAGACAATTCATTTGTGGAGAGATGTCCTGATCTCAGGTACTGTTGGATCTCCTTCTCTAGAGAACGATCATTCAGTTCATTCAGACAGTGAAACAGGTTGATGCTTTTCTCTGCAGAGGCAGTCTCTTTGATCATCTTCTTGATGTACTGGACTGTTACCTGGTTTATTTTTGAGCTACTTCCTGTCTGTGTCAGCAGGCCTCGTAGAAGAGTCTGATTTTTCTGCAGTGAAAAACCCATGAGGAAGCGGAGGAACAAGTCCAGGTGTCCATTTGGACTCTGTAAGGTCTCGTCCACAGCTCTCTGGTAGAAGAGTTTGGATTTGTCTCCAAACAGTTTAGACCAACATGAGATTGATGTTTCTTCTGACAGCAGATTGACTCCAGAGGTGATGAAGGTCAGATGGACATGAAGAGCAGCCAGAAACTCCTGAACACTCAGATGGACAAAGCAGAACACCTTGTCTTGGTACAGCCCACTCTCCTCTTGAAAGATCTGTGTGAACACTCCTGAGTACACTGAGGCTGCTCTGATATCGATGCCACACTCTGTCAGGTCTGATTGATCAAAGTTTAGGTTTCCTTTCTGCAGCTGCTCAAAAGCCAGTTTCCCCAGAGACTCAATCATCTTCCTGGTCTCTGGACTCCAGTGTGGATCCGTCTCAGATCGTCCATCATACTTGACATTCTTCAGTTTGGACTGAACCACCAGGAAGTGGATGTACATCTGAGTCAGGGTCTTGGGCAACTCTCCTCCCTTTCTGGTCTTCAACACATCCTCCAGAACTGTAGCAGTGATCCAGCAAAAAACTGGGATGTGGCACATGATGTGGAGGCTTTGTGATGTCTTGATGTGGGAGATGATCCTGCTGGCCTGCACAGCTTCGAATCTCTTACTGAAGTACTCCTCCTTCTGTGGGTCAGTGAACCCTCTGACCTCTGTCACCATGCCAACACACTCAGGAGGGATCTGATTGGCTGCTGCAGGTCGTGTGGTTATCCAGAGGCGAGCAGAGGGAAGCAGGTTCCCCCTGATGAGGTTAGTCAGCAGCACATCCACTGAGGTGGACTCTGTAACATCAGTCAGGATCTCAGTGTTGTGAAAGTCCAGAGGAGGTCTACACTCATCCAGACCATCTAAAATGAACACAACCTGGAACTGATCAAACCTGCAGATTCCTGCTTCTTTGGTATCAGTAAAGAAGTGATGAACAAGTTCCACCAAGCTGAACTTTTTCTCTTTCAGGACATTCAGCTCTCTGAAAGCAAATGGAAATGTGAACTGTATGTCTTGGTTGGCTTTGTCTTCAGCCCAGTCCAGAGTGAACTTCTGTGTTAAGACTGTTTTCCCAATGCCAGCCACTCCCTTTGTCATCACTGTTCTGACTGGTTCATCTGTTCCAGGTAAGACTTTAAAGATGTCTTCTCGTCTGATGGTTGTTTCTGGTCTGACTGGTTTCCTGGATGCTGTTTCAATCTGTCTGACCTCATGTTCATAATTGACCTCTCCAGTCCCTCCCTCTGTGATGTAGAGCTCTGTGTAGATCTGATTCAGAAGGGTTGGGTTTCCTGCTTTAGCGATCCCCTCAAACACACACTGGAACTTCTTCTTTAGCTTAGATTTGACTTTAGGCTGGCATTTCTGAAGAGCCTCTGAATCAATAAAAAACAGATAAGACAACAGTAAAAAAGCACATCAGATATGCATATTGCAGGCATTTCAAATGTGGATACAAGTACTAAATTTGGCACAAATCTTCCTTGGGTATTAGTAAAACAAGTTAGCCACTCAAGAATTCAAGTCAATGTCATTTGTTGCGATAATTTCACCTACAATTTTTCCATACGAATGATCTAGGTGTGGAATCATACATTTTAATGATAGTTCACTGTAAAAAATGAAACTTGCAGGAGACTACATTTTAACAAAAATATCAGCAAACTCAAAATAAACTCATGACTTAATGTTGATTTTTGCATTTAAAAATATATATATTTTTTTACCATGTTTTAAATGTGAACATTGTTTTTTTTTTTCATTTCGTCGTCTCCCGCTTATCCAGCAGCCTCAGCAAAGAGGTCCAGACAGCCCTCTCCCCAGCCACTTCCACCAATGCTTTATTCTTTAGTATTAAGATATTAGGATGTTTCTCTTTTGGCAATTATGTTGCAAATGACATGAAGAACGGTTTGTCTTAGGTAAATATTGCCTAACATCATCAACTATTTGCTCTGTGAATGTGACAGTGTTAGGTGATAGGTCATGCCTATTGTATGTGCTAGTCCATTATATTTAGTATGGTTGGTTCTGAGAAAAAAGTCAAATGAATTTCCAGGAAACTTAACATGACAGTCCAACTACTAGCAAGTTAGTTAGCTTACATCATCTTTGACAAAGCACACATAGAGATAACTAAAGTCCAAGTTTTAAGGCAAAGTGTTTTAAGCATGTACGTTTGAAATGTCAAAGGGTGTAAATCAGTTGACAATAGTGTAATTCAACTGGGTAAAATTCTGTGGTAAAACGTGTGCTCCCTATGCCTGAAATGGCAGCCATAATGAAATTTCAAGTGGCTAGTGTCACAACTCGTCAGTCCAGTTAAGTCCTTTTTGTCTTCTTCCCTAATGTCTCTAGTATTTGTTTACCTACATCATTTCCAACCTGACCAGCAGAGCAGAGGCATGGGCCACAACAGAGTGGAGCTGGAGAGCTCCCGTGTATGATTCCCTGTTGCCAGTTCTCCCAGACTTTCACCCAGAGCTTCCAGCACATGGCTCCCAGCCAGGAGGTGGCCAGGAGGTGGACTGAGGTGGCCTGGCTTAGGTATTTTTCATGGCTCGCGACTGTGTCATGTGGCCTACAGATTTGCCCTCTCACATACTTTTTCACCGCAAAAATAGACAGAGAAAAGACCCGTTGATAGTCATATTTACATCACACCAGCAACATCACATAAAACTGACAACTTTCACTATAGTTGTCTATGTCTCAGTTAAATCTGAATATGACACTCAGATGACACTATGACCACTCCATCCAATCCAGAGTTTCCAGACCTCTCGAAGGTGGCCTGTTACCACAACCTGAAAGAGGTATTCAGCAAAACCAGTGGTTCCTCTTTGCCTCCACAATGGCCCTATGACTGCACCATAATCTTCAGCCAGGCATGTAACCCTCCTAAGGGAGGACTCTGTTCCTTGTCATCTCCTGAAACCAAGGCTATGACAAAATATGTGGAGGAGTCTTTGGCTGCTGGTATCATCTGGCCTTCCTCTTCTTCTGCCAGTGTTGACTTCTTCTTCTGGAAGAAGAAAGTCAGGACCCTGCCGTCCTGACTCAGCTACCGTGGACTCAATGACAACAGGTACCCTCTCCCTTTAATTTCCTCTGCTTTTGAACTATTACAAGGTGCTAAGCTTTTTACTAAACTGGACTTAAAGGTGCAATGTTTAAGATCTGGCCAGATCGGGCCAGAATCTTAGTTTAAAATGTTCAAAAAATGACCTAACACCATCAATAGTATGCGAAGGAGCCACAGTGATGATGTCATGACCAAGACCACCACCTATTGTATTTCAGAGATATCTACTGAAATGAGCATGCTAACCAACTAGCCGTGTCCCGGACCATGCTGTAATACCACCTATAAACACTAGATGCTGTATGATTCAGTGTAGCGTCTAGTCTGCCCTCAGTCCCACGAAGAAGAAGAGCTTCCTCCAGAGTTTGAAGTAACTCTACAGCTCCCGAGAAAAAAAAAAAGCTGCCGATGAGAAACACAGAAACGTAGAGATGTCTGTAGTGCCTAGAAAACGATATTTATTTCCATCGCGAAGAATCGCTCCGACAGGAAAACACGTTCAACGGCAAAGAAGCAAAACACGGGTGAATGCTGGTGTGTCTTCCCACCGCGGGAGACAGCTCAGGGCGAGTAAAGAGATGCGGGTGATGCCGAGCTGCAACTTTTCTGTTAGACAGGTGAGTAACGTCTAATGTTGGTCTGTAGCCTAAAGTATCATTAGTGCAAATGACAAACCGTACTGACGAACACTTCAAGTGGCATAAATGTATGAATGATGATGTCGACAGACGTTTTAGCAATGTAGCAGGATTTAGCCTGTTCCTGCGGCTGTTGTCCAGATAGACGCATCAGTAACTTTTTTACAAGAAAAAGAGACTGTTTGATCCAGAACCAGCGGGCTCAGGATCCACTGCCTATCTATCCTATTTATTATACACACACAGCAGACCTAATATGTTTGAATGTAAAGAACGTGTATGATCTAAACTAATTGCCCTATCACATGTTTGTCTGTATCAGGACCAGAATTCCAGTCCAGTCATTTCCAGTGATGGACCAGCACCTGCCTTTTCTTCTGCGTCTGGCCTCATCAATAATCAACAACCACAAACCAGTAACACCTATTGTCTATACTGTGATCTTTGGCACATCTCGCTCAGCAAAAGTTTTGTCAACACTTTTGTAGTTTTTTTTTCAGTTTTATTTTTTCAATAACTGTATCTATGTATATTTATCTTTTAGGCTGTTGCAGTACTTTATCTTTTTATTGCTATTTCCTGTTAATATGTTTATTGGATACTGCATCAAACACCAAGCCAAATACCTTGTAAGTAAAAACCTACCTCGCAATAAACCTTATTTTCTGATTCTGCCTTTGTGATGATGTCATCATCCCTTCCTCATGCTGCTGACACCCATGAGTCATGCAGTACCCCCTTACCTTCATATTTTTTATAGATAAATAAAAACATACTGTTTGTACTGCAAGTACTCATCATTTTTTTCAGTGCTATCAACAAATGTAACTATCAACAATGAATGCACATATAGATAATAAATTATAAGGAACATGGGGAAAACAACAACATGATTAACTTGACAAGGGAGAAGAGGTGAAATGTTGCCCCCTATGGAGGTACAGCAAGTTGCATGATCTTACACATTACACCTTTAAGAAACGCTTGCCACCTGGTTAGAATAAGGGAGGGGGATGATGAAAACCTGTTTAACTTTACCTGCTGCAGAAGCTGCCCGGACTTGTGACTGTGTTTCTGTTGGAGGAAAGTGAATCTTAAATAATGAATAGTTCTCTGTAAAAAAAAAGAAAAAAAAGATGCATTTTCTATTTCCATCATACCTGCGTGGCAAGAGAATGTTGGGAATAATAAATAAAAAGCATTTGTCCTCAGACATCAAGATGTTAAATAGCTTGTGCTTTAAATACATTTCAGGTATGTGTAAATCTATGTCACACTTTTGTTTCTCCATAATGTGCCATGTATATCTTTTCTTTTCCTATACCTGTCCTTACCTTCATTCCTTTTGATCTTCTGTAAAATCAACTTTGCCACCCGCATAGCATTTTCAGTGGTGTACATGCTGACCATCAAATCCACTGTTTTCGGTCTGCCTGCATTCTCCAGCTCACACCTTTTGATGGCAGGGAAACCATCCAGTAACTCAGCATTCTGCAGGTACCACTGGAAGAGTTCCAGTTCTTTAAGTCCAAAATCCTGCAAAGTTTCCAGCAGCTGTTGCTTCACAGGCGTCTCCATCTTTGCTCCCTTATAAAATAAGAGGATTTTTACAGCTCAATAACACACTCTTTCACCAAGAATGAAGGGCCCAGATTATCATATTTCACACATTGATAAAAATGCTTGTCAGGCTTTACCAGTTTACCTGTCACAGCAGTGACGGCTGACAGCAGACACACCATATCTTAGTGTTCATTCTGCTCCTCAGACATCACAGTGTAAGGTCTGTGGGTTTGATGAGAGAACAGAGAGCAGCTGAGACACTTCAGAGCAACAACAGTTAGGCATCTGAGCTAGACTCAGTTATAAAGTTTTTAGACGCCAAGATCACTTGATTTTTGTTTCAGTAGAATTTCAGTGACAATATTTCAACACATAGCAGGTTCTACTTCATCTGCTTAACATATATTTTTATCAAAAGCTGTTAGAGGATCAAATCCTTTATACAAGATGTTTTTTCTTTGTTGGGCTCCCTTTTCTAAAAGCATATTAAAGTATAATTCCAGATTATGTCAACCTGACATATACAGTACATTTCACATAAATGTGGCTCTATGTGTTGGGCTAACTTTGCAAAGATTCAAGGAAACGAGGATTCGAGCTTTACAGATAAACCTGATTGTCACATGAATTATTTTAGATCCTTGTCTCAGAGTCTGACCAAAAATAAACAGCAGCTACCAAGCGTTTGTCCCATGCGCTCCAGTTCTTGTGGGCTCCAGGTGGAAGGGTCAATTGGAAAACAGGAAGTTGGGGATTCCACTTCCACTGACTGAGCCCTGTCAAAGAAAAGTTTCTGTTACTTTGTGACAAAGCCATTTATTCTCATCAGCTGCATTGAGCACTGAGCTTTTTGGTGACACAGACTAAAGCCCTATTGTGGAGAAAAACACACATTACTCATTTGCACAACAACTAAAATTTATATAATTTCTCCTGTAAAAACATCAACTGCTCCTCCACTGATTGGCTCTTATCTGTTTCATCTCAGTGTCAGTTGAATTGACACACAAATGGGACTGAATTCATTTCACCTCAAAGCTCCAATATTACAACATTCAATCATTTCACTGACACTGAAAATTAAGATTCTAGAGCTGCAACTGACAGCTCTAAAAGATTCTTTATAACGAAATATTACTTTTATGTAATACTTAATAATCTTGAATATTTATGGATGTATAAATTCCTAATAACTTAATGTGTTTTAATCTGCCATTAGCAGCTCGAAAGTGACCAGTAGCTACATTTGTCAGGTCCATGAGCTGCAGTACAAGTATTTAACACAACATGGAAATACTAAAGTGAAGTACAAGTACTTCAGAACTGTACTTGAGTAAATGTAATCTGTTACTTTCAACTTGTGATGGGAATTCCGGCTCTTTGTGGAGAGCCGGCTCTTTTTGGCTCAGCTCACTAAAAATAGCCGGCTCTTTCGGCTCCCAAGTGGCTCCTCAGATTTTTTGTTACTTAAATTAATTTATTACCAAATTATGTGTAAAATGAATAACTAATGAAAACATAAAATATAACATATGTATAGTATGTATATGGCTTTATTAATAAACTTAACATAACTTAACATATACATAAATAAATTTTAAATAAAAAAGACCCATTTTAATTTGTGAAAAAACACAAAATCAACTAAACATCACTCAACAGAATATAAATTAAAATGTGCAACCATGTACAGTGAAAAACAAAACACAAAACACAAAATGCGAGTGTCTGTAACCCCTCCCCTCCCCCCTCCTGCTCAGTGTCGTCACACAGACGCTGACACAGCCACACATGTTGACCAATGCGGCTTTAAAAGACAATTTAAATAAATAAAAAAAATCGCTCTCGATCGCGAGCCGGCTCCCGTCGTTCACTTCAAAGAGCCGGCTCTTGTTCGCGACCGACCCATCTCTACTTTCAACCACTGTTGAATAATATGATCCTGAATATTGATCGAAGAAAGAGAAATAAATAATAAAGTCTCAGTAAGGCCCTGAAAAAACATGAAATGTTAAGTATTGATCAGACTAATGTGGATGTTAAACGTCA